CCAAGATTAACAGATTGGTGATGATGTAAGCCACTGGTAACTCACCGGATAAAATCAGAATAATACGCCCCCCTCTGCCACTCAACCGATCCGATTCTATGTGGATTTTCATCAAACATCGAATCCTGCCGGATATCAGTTACCAAACAATATCTAGATTTCCGAAAGTTGGGTCAAATCGGACCTTCTTGTGAAAATCTGATGGACATCTTGTGTTGGCATTAGATGTTTATCGGTGCTCAACTAATTCAGTAGCGTTTAGCTTTCTATAGGATATAGATGAACTGAAAGTTCTATAGCGAAAACATCTGTTATAGCACTTCCATGTGCACTATAATTTCGTAGTATGCTACTCGAGAGACTGCAATCGGGTGCACGACCACAATCAACAGAAATAAATGTTAATGTTGGGAGTATGAGACACTCTCCTGCTTCATTTGCGTCAACAAGGCGAGTTCGTCCATGTAATAATTGATTCAAAGAGTGGCAGAGTGGGGCGTATTATTCTGATTTTATCCGGTGAGTTACCAGTGGCTTACATCATCACCAATCTGTTAATCTTGGGACTCTTTTTTTCTGAAAACCTAGATTCGTGTCATATAAAATGCACAGGAGATATGTAGATCATCAAAGGACATTTCTCTAACCTAATATAGCACGAAATTTTAAAAAAACCAAGATTTTTTCATTATAATAGTTCTGTTGATAAACAGAAAGCCGTTAGTCGCACAAAAAATAACAATTTAATTAAGGCTAGTGATTTTCTTTACTAAAAAAAAGCCTTTTTAAGCTTTTTTTATTCTGTTTTATGTGATAAAATAAAGGAGTTAGGTGAGAAAGTGTTTCAGTACTGTATGTTCGGTGGTACTTGCTCTTTTATGGTTGAGAAGATTGATTTATCTATTTGTATTGATTGCAAATGCAACAGTTTTTGTGTTTGCAATATGGTAGATTTCGTGTTTGCAATATGGTAGATTCGAATGTGCAGGTTGAGTTAGTGCAGTATTTTCTTGATAGATTAAGAAGTGTTTTTGAACATTTTTGCTCATGATCTGTGTTGTTGGTTGGCTTCATCAATTTGCTGTTGATTGCTGCATTTTTTTTGTTACATTTTGCGGAAAGTTAGTGAACATTTCAAGATTCTACTATGATCTGGATGACCGGAATGGATGAACACTGCAGTAGACAATGGTTTGTTCTGTATTGGAAGAACGTCGCACTTTTCTTACATTTCTGTCATACGGTCCTTCTAGCTAATATTGGTGACAGCTAAATCGAATGTTGAACTTTGTCGGAGCATGCGTAAAAGTTGTTCAATATTGTAAGGAAGTCACAGAAAGAAAATGTTAAGACAAATTATCTGTTGCGATCACATAATTTTTATTTTATTTTTATAGTACAATTTATAAAAATTAAAAAAGCTTATAGAAAACATGCACAAAAAAGTAAAAATTCACAGGAAAACAACATAAAAATAGAAATAAAAGTTTAGATCTCTCCGACGATCTTGGCGTCGTCTAGATCAACTCTTGAACTTCCTCGGAGCAAAAGTGATAAAAGAACAATTTTTCTTTACTTTGTTCAACATAGTTTATCAAATAAAGAACACAGAAAACGACGATAAAGAAGAAAGTAAAAATTGCCGTTATTGATAACGGCTAATAACTTTTTATGGTTAAATATTTTTATCAAGAAGAAAAGGAAAAGGAAAAAGGCCGTTACGTAATTTGTTAAGTAATGTGACATTCTAGTATTTGCTTAAAAACGACCATAAACCAACCCTTTTATCTGACAGTCAGACAAACAGACAGTTATGTTTCTATATGATTATTTATAAAAGGGGTTAAGCCAATAAAATTAATCATCATGGCGAAATTAGTTCAGATCAGAAAAAAGTGAAGCATAAATTTGAATAGTTTTCTTCATTTTCAAAGTGAAAAAAAAACGAGTAGGAATCGCCTATTATAAAGTGCAAGATCGCAAAGTGAAAGTAACATCCTTTTTCCTGATGTCACGGTAAAGCCATTCCATTCATCGTTAAAGTAGTTGAAGTGCACGGTAAAAGTGTAACATATTAAAAAAAACATTTTTAATGTGACTTTGCCACGGACTTTATGTGACTACTTTTTACAGTGTGTTTATCATTAGAAACGGTACTATTATGTATTGAAAAGCAGGTAAGCTCATTTTCGATAAGTAGCTTACTATGACTGCCCGAATGTGGCTTGAAGCATATGATAGACAAAATTCATGTCTTCAGCTGTTGTGTCAAACAGCGTCCATGTATGTCCATGTATATGTATACATAGACGCTAATCACATCTCTGACTCGATTCTTGCATGGCTGTATATAATAATGCATGAGATGGATACTGTGAACCAAGCATGGTCGAATTATAAAAATAGACTGATCTTGGATAAAAATCGTGTAATAGCAGATAACTTTACCATTGGTTAAAAAGTAAAGTAGCTGCGAAGTTAAAAGTGAAAAAATATGCAAAGGTCAAATATGACTGACTAAATGGCAAAAATTCTCAACTTTAGTTACTTCTCTCTTTAGTAAACCACCTATTAACTCAAATATTAATCAATTCTCTCGACTGAAATAGATTCATCAGAAAACAAGAAGAAAAAAAGTTGAAAAAGCGCCACTTCGGTTAGATATAGGCGACATCTTATTGAAGGAACTGATTGAAGAATTCATTCAGTTCCAATAACTTTGTTTACTTTTTGTTGAAAATCTACGGCCATTTTTGGCAGGTAACTTCTTTCAACGCTTTTTTTGTCTAAATTGTTTGATGTTACCAGTAAAAAATAAATCAGAAATAGTAAGCATTTTTCTTGATGATATACGTGTAGTAATGCCTATCTCCTGAACTCTCTCTTGTATTCTTTTGTTCGTTTCATGAATCATCCTCTTCAGTTTATATTTTGTATCGAACATTTTGCAAATGTCGGAGAGTATTTCCTTTTCTAGAAACTGTTTTGTTTTCTTTTGAATACCGAAAGAAGAAGGAAAATATTTACACAAGATTTTTAAATCGCTTCCAGGAAACCTATCGACATGTCAAACGTGATACCTGCTGATACGAAAAGTCATCATCATCTGACTCTATGAAGGAAATGTCAAAACAGGGATCCGTCAATCGGTTTTTGATGAACTGAGAATTTTGTTTATATTTTTTCTAGATATTTTGCATTTTTGATAAAAAATGTTAATTAAAGACTGGCTCTATTTTATTCTAATTTCTGTATCATCTTGTTATGGTATGTTATTATTCCTCTATGATACTATCCGTCATATTTCGACAGTTTAGTCCGTTTTGTACTAAAAATTTCTTCTGTTCGATTGATCAGTACTTTTTCTGGGAACTTTTCCAAAAAAAATTGTTCGTTTGCCTCATGTTTTAATAAGTTATCTTGCTCGTACGTTAATAAGTAAGCTCGCTAGTATTCGCGTTTTGCTACTAAATCAGTCATATTCTTCTGTACAAAAAATATGTTCAATGTAACCAATGGTGAAGGATGATGTGTTGAGATTTTTATTAAATGATTTGTGATAAGAGGCTGTCCGTTTCTGATCAAAGTCATGCTTTATTTTTATTTTTAAATGAAGCAAGTTGATTAGATGGAATAGCAAATCTTAACACTTTTTCCAAAAAAGGAACAAAAGGAATATGCCAAACCATAAATTTTGCTGTTAGGGACCGCTAAACTTTTTCTCTCGAGAATTGTTTTTTCGGTTTGATTTCCGAAAAAAACGAACGGGGTTCACTTCTGATGTGTATCTAATAGCGAAAAGCCAGCATATATTCTATATGGAGTGTTTGACTCCATTGTACGGAATTACTAACAAATTTTTTTCTATAGGGCTGAATAATACAAACACAACTGGCTTATTATCTTTAAATACTACGACTCAATTGCCAACAACAGTAACGACAATCAGAACTACTACGTCACTTACAATCCCACTAGAATCTACACGAACCACGGGTTTAGTTACTACGAACAGTAGCACGATAGGTAAGAAGAAGGAAATGTTTTGCAGATTTGTGATCGTTTAAGATACCATATTCTATTGAAATTCGAGAAATATTTTGTAAGATTCAAGTGTATGTCTGAACAGTCTTTGTTCATTGCTTATTTGTTTTGGTAGAAGGGTAAAGATGTTCGGTATTGTGTCTGAGCTCTTTCTTTGTCTCGAGTAGCTTGATTAGGCTTTGTTTGTTGTCTCAGCTCAGAATTACGATGAAAATTTTTGTCTCTTTTGTATAATTTTGGCTACAATGCAAAATAACGTTTCACTCATTCATGTTTTTTTTGCTTTTAGCGAAAATATATTCAAATGGTTTATACAGGAATGAGCTGGAAAGAGTGTGAACACTTGCTGTAGAGAGAGGCTCTTAAAAAATTGATTCTGCTTCAGTGTAAACAGCTATGCAACAAGTTTTTGTGTTCTATAAGTACGAGCTATGCTTGTTTAACATATTCTTTTTTTCCTTTGTAGCTACGTCGCCGCTGCCATCAGTTTCTGTTTCGACGACACGATCTCCTTTATCAAAACACACTGGTCGTCGAGTATTTTTTATCTTAGTTGGTTGTGTAATCACTGTCAGTCTAATTATATCAATGTTTTATACGTACACTGTTGTTCTCAATCGTCGTGGAGGAGGAGATCATACTCGCGTATTTTCGTGTTTTCGTCGTAAATTTCGTTTATTTCATATATCTCCGAATCGAGGTGAAAATGAATCGCGTTTACATTTGCCGGAAAATCAAGATGAAGCTCTACTATATGATGATCCATATAATAACGTACCGTATGCTGATCATAATTCAAATCCATATAAATCACTTACATTAGCTGTTACATAAACGAGTTGAATAATAATGCATGAAGATATGTTCTAGTCAGAAAAGTTTATAAATCTGCTTCCATACACAATGTGCTGCAAGTAATTATTAAAAAATGACATTCTATTTTTTAGTTTAGAATCTATTTTCTTGTCATTGTTTTGTCTCGTAACGGATCATTTTACATACATATCTATAAAACAAACAGAAAGAGAGATCTATGATGTTCTTTTCTGTTTTTGACTTAATCAATCTCATTATTTTATACAGCTTCCTTCTTATGTTTTGTTAATTTTTTTTTTGTTTTATTTTCTGCAGTGCGACAGTCAGTTTCGTTGAAAGATACATCTTGTGTTCTTAAATCGGCCTATTTTTGTATGAAATATCTTCTACTGTACAGGTTTTTAGACTGTTATATGTCTGATTAGATCTACAGTTATGGGGAAGGGTTTTTCTATGTCATAGTCAGCTTCAGATTAAACGCCAATGTTCAGTTATAGTCTAATAGATAGTCTCAAAGATTGTTTTTCAAATAACTTGAAAATTCTCATTAGTCACAGATATTATAACACGTTTTTTTTCTCTGCAAAAAAGTTGATATTGTTGTTCTTGTCGTTAGAAAATAAGAAATATTACAAAATTTGTACTTACGCAGTATAGAAATCACATATTATTTAATCACTTTGTTATGCATCTATGTCGTAACAGGAAGAGAAATTGTATAGTTGCTTTAAAACTATCGGGTATAAATGTGAAGTGTATTTCGCAGTTAATTTTTTTACACAAATATCTGTGCAAATGCATTCATACTTTTTTCGGTTTGCTTAAATGTGTTTACAAGTCTTAAAAAGACTCAATATCTTTCATTTTAACATAATGCACCTATCATTGTTCCTAATTTTTTTCTCAACTTTTGAATGATTACCAAATATGTAGAATACATTTTATTTCTACTGGCTTTTGTCTTCAGTGAGATCTGATTGTATAAAAGAAACAGTTTTTTCTATATGTGCTTTTTGTACTTTGTCATTACATACTTGTTCTGCTGAGATTTTCTTCATTTTTTCTTTTTTGTCTATGCTATATAACTTATGCGTACCAATAAACAAAGCAATAAAATAATAACTTCTCAAAGAAACAACAACAAGAGTAACATTGTCAAATAGATGGGGATTTTTTGCATCATAAATTTATTTAGATATTTTTTCTAAAAGTTTAGTTTGAGTTAGAGGTTAATAAAGAATTTCAATATTATTGTTAACATTATTATATCATATACTGTACGATATATTTGAGGGTATCAGACAGCTATTTCTATCTGTTCATTGATGACAGACATAATAACGATGATACTCAGTATGACATAAAGTTCAAACGTTTAAGAAAATTAGTATTCTTTACTTTTTTTCTTCAGTTATAATAAGTAAAGAATACCCAACGGGTGATATGAGTTGTTGAAACTTCGATAAGATATAAAAGGCGTGTGCGATTTTATCAAAATTTTTAAAAACCAATTTTAATGTTGGTTTAAAGTGCAAAATCGACTTTTGAAAGGGCGGAGCTAGACTTACTAAATTGTTGATTCATTAAGTTAATAAAACTTTCTCCAGGTAGGAAGTAATCGTTTGATCCTCCTTTGCGCAGGACAGCTTTGAAGATTGTGATGATTGTAATAAACAGGCTTTGATCTCGCAACGTTCATTCAATCAATTTTGATTTTATTCGACTAAATTATACCATACAAAGCTCATATTCTATACTTGTTGTGTATATGACTATCTTTAATCATATAACTTTACCAGAGCACTTTACGTCGCTTCTTATCTTTGACACAATCATAGTACCGTCTGGTCTTGTAGTGATCCCTTGTCACACTATAATTATTTTGGGGATCGACACTTCTTATCATTACATGCTGAGTTATCAGTACTTCTCTATTTGGTATGTGTATTTTTCCCTTTTCTAGATCTCTCTTATCTACAGTTAGCAGAAAAAGTGTTCATACGATGAAGGACAAAAGATTTGTAACACCATTATCTCCAGAAGGAAGAAGCATAGGAAGATTCCTTTTTCACCATTCGATAGTCTAAGTCTCAGCTTTATTCCTTGTTAATAGCACATTTTTATTTCAAATTCTTCTACCAAAAGACAAGGCTTTTAACTTCAATGTGCTTTTTCCGCTCAATAATTATTCGTACGATCACTCTTTCACTTCTATTTGGATATTTATCGAACAGATAGAATCTTTGTTTATATACCATTCGAAAGCGCAAAGTCTGGGCTACACGATAAAAAGAAGATACCAAAGTTAGCTGACGGATAACAATTGCGTTTTTAATTAATTAGTCAAATTTTATATAAAAGTTTGGCCTACCTAAAACTCATCAAAAAATAACTTTAAATATATCATTGAATAGTACTTGAAAAACTGCAGTCTTTTCCCTAGAGATCAAATCTTATATAGGATTCCTATAGGAATTTTATGAATTTCTTAATTAGACAGCCGATGGAAATGTGTAGAATATTGATAAGAATCTCATATAAGAAAGCGGTAAGATCTATATAAGAATCACAATGATTCGTAAACCCCCCCCCAAAATAGACGGCCACCCTATATTAGAAGGCCACCCCCTGTATAAGGCCATGTTAGGACAAAAGTTCAAACGCCCTATTAGAAGGCCATGGCCTTCTAATAGGTTTGTCTACATGAATGAGTGAGAAAGATAGACAAAATAGTAAAAAATCGAAAGAGTAAACGTCGTCTTGCTACATATTGTCCTAGACCATACATTCGTCTACATATTCATCATTCTCTTTTTACAAAGCAAAAGGCTCTACTAGATATGTGGAAAAAAAATTAGTTTCTAATACAAAAAAAAAATTGTCTCTAGTATGAAAAACATAAATAAAAATGAAACTTATTGAAACATAGGACATTCTAAATTTCAGACGTATTAGAGGGTCACCCTAATTAGAAGGCCATGGAAAAAGTAATGATGTGCCGAGACACTGTATAAGGGCATGGCCTTTTATTCTGGGGGGGGGTTTATAAGAATTTCTAGAATTCTTATATAAGATATTCATAAGTCAACTAATTCAAATGTATAGAAGGTTCCTATTCTTATACGCGATGCAAGGTGACGATTTTTAGTCAGCCAGTTATATCCAATCCGAAGGTTGATACTATAGAATATAATACAATTTCATCAAATTTTTTAGTAACCAGTATTTTATATTGTAGTTTCTTACTGTAATCTACAGTTTCATATGTGAATAAAATAGTTTTCTTCCTATTTATTTTGTTTTTCTATAATAAAACTTTAGTCACAAGTGGGCAGTATAAAGACGCGCCCTCGTTGTCTACTGTTTGTGTTTGTAGACTGAATTTACTTCTCCAATATAAAATATGCGAAAGGAGAATATATGGCACGATCGCTCTCTTATTTGCATAAATTTCGCCTTTTCAAACTGGTCTCTGGAAAAATGTACCACTTGCGATCTTGTTTTCTTTATAAAGATGTCATTCAATTCGGACTCTCTAAGTCGTAGAAGATAGGAAAGCTCAAGTACTACTAATATGCATAAAAATTCCTTTCATAACTGACTCATCATTCCATCGTCAGTGGTCAAAGAAATAAATTTCTTGATTGATTGCAAGAGAGGATGCGACGTTGAAAAACATTTTAATGAGTTATTAGTAGTAAAATACAAATCAGATCTCTCAATATAATTCTGACAAAATCCTAGATAATCCTATACAGGAATTCACAGCATTTGCTAGGTTACCTAGTGTAGAGATGTGCACGGGTACGATTTTCATACCCGTACCCGACCCGAAAATTTCATTTTTACCCGTACCCGCATCGTAGTACCCGTACCCGCAACATTGTACCCGTACCCGAAAACGCAAACGTGCTAAAACAATACATATATATAACTTTATCTACCAAAAAAAAAAAATAACAATAGACAATATCAGTTTTCATTGAAATTACGCAAGAATACCAGAGAATCAATAGATTCTGGACTTAATAATTGTCTTCGAGCCTCTAATATTCTTCCTGTTCCACTAAATATTCGTTCAGCTGTGGCTGAGCTGGCTGGAATTGCTAATAATGATAGTGCTAAACGTGACAATTGTT